TTGGATGAGTAAATTGCATTGATATTTTGAGATGAAGAAAGCAAAGAGACGTAAAATTGTTCTGGGATATCGCAGACAGCGGGGATTTTATATTGGTTTGGGCCATAGGTCTTCAAAAGTCCTTCAGGAGAATATTTTAATACCTCCATTGTATAAAGTCCAAGGCCTTGTACAAAAGCACCTTCAATCTGAGAGGATAATTATATACATATCAGAATTATTTCCAAATAAAGTGTTAATGTGCCAAGAGGAAACAAATTGTTTTATGTTCAACATCCAAGGAATGTGTTGGCAAATTCAACCCTAATCTGATTTAGATGTTTTTGAGAGCATGAAATACGTGTTCATAAAAATAGATTATTTCAATGGGAGCATGGAATCCTTATTTATTAAAAAAAATAGATATCTTGAAGATATCACTTCTAAGAAATGGTTCACAACACTGTTGTGTAAATCCCATTTGCCATTTAAAAACAATTGTATAGTATCACATTTTCATTTTGCTGAAGTTTAATAAGATTGAATGGCCATGTAGATGTGACATTGATCACATTATTTTTGCACATGGGGTACAATTCCTTGGAAGTAGTGAATCTAAGCTCTCCACCTATCTCAGCTAGATCAAGACCGTAATGGGGGAAAAGGATAGATTGAACACTTTAGTATCCCTGTAGCCCCAATCTTGGGGCACACCAGCTATTCACAATGAGACAACCATGTACCAAGCACAAGTATCAGAAAAGCGGGATACAAGTGGAAGGAAGGAATTGTGCTCAGGTTCAAGTGTGTACAATATATGTACAAAAAGCAAGGACCTGAACTAATCAAAATAACTACACACATGGTCAATACATGTTTCCATTTCACACTTATGTATAACCTTATATATCCATAGTAAATATACTGCAGGTTTAAGATTGAAAAATATCAGCAATACTTCAGAGCAAACTATCAGGCAGTTATAAATGGCTGATACATACCTGTCCTATATCTATAGCTGGATTAATGCTGCAACCAACATCCATAACTATGTCAGTCCTAATATTCTGTTTATTTCGAAAGAGATAATTGCATGAGGTCATTGGTCATTGAAAAATATGAAACATTGCATAAACTTATACTGATATAGGTAACAACTGGAGTCTAGTTCATCCATATATTTAAAAAACATGTGGCAATAAAGACAGATACATCTACAATGTGTATCTGGTTCATAGAATCATAGAATAATTGAGTTGGAAGAGGCCTATAAGTCATTTTCTAGCTAGACAACTATAGGAGGACATTAGGAAGAAATACAGGGACAAATATTAAACAAGATCAGTTGCCACATTATTGCTGTCATTTGGAATTACCGTATTTTTCGCACCATAAGACGCACTTTTTCCCACAAAACAGGGGGGTGGAAAGTCTGTGCGTCTTATGGAGCAAAGAAAACAGATTATATTTTCCTGTTTTCTTCTACTAAAAAATTGGTGCGTCTTATGGAAAGGTGCGTCTTATGGAGCGAAAAATACGTAACTTCAAGCTTGCTAGGTGGGGGCAAGAATCACAGAATCATTGAGCTGGGATGGCCATTGAGTCCAAACCCCTGCTCAAGGCAGGAATCGAAATCAAAGCAGATCTGACAAAGGGTTGTCCAATTTTCTCCTGAATGCCTCTAGCGCTGGAGCGCTCACCACCTCCCAAAGTAATTGGTTCCATTGTTGTATAACAGTTACGATTTCCCCCCTCGTGATATTCAGCATAATCTGGCTTCCTGAAGCTTCAGTCCATTATTATGTGTCCTGCATCTAGGATGGGATCATGGGAAAAATTGTCCCTGTAACTATTCCCAAGATATTAGTGCAAGAGTTTTTTTTTTATTATACTATATAGTGATTTACTCTAGAACTATGTGGGATATGTGGATTGTTAGATGGTATTGGACTGCAAGTCTCATCAGCCCCTAGCTGCCACAGCCAATGGTGAAGGGTTATGTGAGCTGCCATCTACTAACATTTGGAGATTAACATATTCTGCCTTGCTGCAGAAGATCCTTTAAAAAGAAGGACTCTCTTTTTAAAAGAAGGGAGATCTCATATAAGTGGAGATTGCAAGAAATGGAACACAAGACTTAATTGGTAGGATGTAAGCAGTCTTTCAGTACTTTTAAGTTCACATCTGAATCACCAAATGGAGTCTCAACACTTAAGAGCCACAGGACAGGGATATGTTTACCTTATGGTCTCCTGTTAAACAGTCTATTTCAACCTCTGAACAAGCAGCTCCGAAAACAGAATATTCATATGGCCGGCCTTCTCCCTTTTCCCAATCCATGTTTGTTTTATAGCCTCTGATGGAAAAAAGTGCAAATCATGTTAAAATTCTGACCATATGGTATTATAAATGAATATTAAACAAACATTCATCATTAAGTCAGTGAAACATTTTCCTTCAGTCACTGTTTAAATTCAACTCCAGATAAATCATGAAAGGCATTGTGGCTGCAATTATTTGTGAGGTTATTTTATGCTAAACGATATGTGGAAGCAGTGCTTTAATGGAAGACCAAGCAGGATGATGTATCTCCTTGATATATGACTACATACCCAAGTTCTCTTTTCTTGTCTGTCAGAACTGGCATGGGATAAGGCCATTTAATAATCCGATTTATAGAGATAACAAGTTGCATTTGGATCACTCTGGTGGGAATGCTACTGGCGCATTATCGGTTGTGGTGACTGTCAGACATTAAAGGGTCCTCTACCATCCCAAGACTCCCAACGTCTTCCTCAAGTTGAAAGGGATCCTTTGAGAGCTTTGAGAGAGGGGATTAAAAAACTTCTAATGGAAGACAGAAGGCGATGGTTGATGACATCACCAGCCTTGCATGTGTGGAGCGGTGCCAGAGGATTCTGGCCTCATTCTTATAGACAAGTTCTAAGCCACAGGTCATTATTCTATCAAAATTGTTTCTTTACTTAAGTTTTCCTGAAGCAGCTGCCATGGAATACCCTCAAAGTATGTTTTAAGTCCCATCCCCATAATTCTTCCTAGCAAGATCTTCCATTTAACTAAATTCTAATCCATAAAGGAGGGGGGAAATGCAAGTTAGATGTCCTGCAGCATAATTGCTGAGAGAATACACTCCCTTCAAATTTTATATAATCTGGTGGTTGTCCTCCATCCTCCTAGATTTTGGTGAGAGCCTCTGTTTCACTTTTTTTATATAGCTGTGATACCAACCACATATTTTGATACAACTGGATTTCCTTTGGGTTTACAGTGTATTTCACTTCAGGTGTTTATCACAAGACAAAAATAAACAGGAAATGTGGAGAAGCATGTCATGTAGAGATTATAGAGAAAAGGATCCTCCTTCGACTACCACTGCTCTTTGCTGACAGATGCACAAGCTTTAGGCACTCTTAGCTGCAATATCACAGACATTGTGGAAAAGGCAATAATGGAAATTTCTGTTCAAATGGTTCACATTTTCCACTAAAAAAAATGTAAGCATAGACAACTGAATGTACCTGAAGTAGCCAGTAGCTGAAAGACTAATATTTGACGAAAAGCTTCTCTAATCTGTAAAGGAAATGTAAATATATTGTATCATACTTCCAAGTAATTTCTATGGCCTTAGAATGCAGCATTTTTGGACATAATTGTAATACTGTTTTCTTGACACAATTGTAATAAGATTACATTTTCAGTTTATTTTAAAAAGCCACAAATAAGTCACAATAGTGAAAAGCATTCTACACACAATCTGCAGTTCTTGCTGATTTCAGTGGAATTCACTTCACTGTGTGCCTTGAGACCAATCTAAAGTGATGGTTGCAGTTTTGGTTTCAGGAAAGGCAAGAAGGCTACTATAGTCTATTAGGGTAATAACTGTGTATTTTTGCAGCAGACACGAAAGGATTACCCAGTCTTTCCATGTTCCTTCAGGATTTTTGTTCATGACAGGCTTAAGTCTTTTCATAAGAGTCTCACAGGCATTCTAAGAATGAAAAACCATAAAACAATTAGCATTGCAAAAGACATTGAGGAAATTATTTTGCTTTAAGCAAGGGGCATGTCCAGGGCCTCTCATCATGCTTAGAACAGGTATTAGGGCAATAGTAGCAACTGGCCTTCCTAGTACCAGCTTCACTACACCACTATCACAACAACTGAAGCAATTTTAGTTACATGGGATTCTGTGGGCCTTGGTTTCATTGATCCAATGGTATACAATGCAAACTGCACTGGACCCATGTAATATGGTGGGCAAAAGAACACACCTGGGAAGGATGAGGATACTTTGGTAGTGCAAATGACCAGACATGATGCATTTCCAACATATGCAGAAAAAAATGACATGCACCTGTAGATGATCAGCTGTGAACATTAGATGCAACTCTATTTCACCACAAAAGGGATGAGAAGACATAATCATACAGACTTGCACTGTATAAGCAATACCCATAGGTGCAACGTCAGAATCCTATGACTTTTTCTTTGGCCACACGAAGAGAGGGAGAAAAATACTTCCCAACCAGGTCTGCCAACTGGTAAATAAACTATTCCAGTACAGCAGGTCAGGATACCCAAATGTTGAGCCTTTTAGTGATCCTGTTGACACCAGCTGGCAGTCAGAACAGGCTGCTTTATTTGTTTTAATGACACCTATCTAATCTGTGTTTTGCCTTTGAAAATTATTTAGTGAATGAAAAGTAAAAATTTATATTCATTTGGCAAGGGTAGCCCATTTCCTTCCAGTTTGGTAAGGGGTTCCCAATTAAGTACCATCACAGAGCGCATTCTGAACACAGTGGAAATTATTTCAAAATATTTCCTAGAGTTTTGTAATTTACAACAGCTGTGTAATTTTAAAAAGCCAGAAAATGGAAATTTTTCCAATGCATTCTTCATCTTCCACTTCCTTACTCTTCCCATCCCCATCCAATACCTTTATAGTTGTCAACAACTTTGTCCCAAGGTA